TTTTGCCCATGGTTATAGCCTGCTGAAAGCCCACATTTTCCCCTGTTTCAGGAGACCAGAGTGCTGTGATTGACCTGATCAGGCCGTTTCCAGGATGGATGACCGGGAGGCAGAGATAGCCTGGCAACACACTATAACGACTCAGGGGCTGGAACTAGACCCCCCCGCCTACCGACTTCGCAGCCGCCGGGAGATAACCCACTCTCCGAAAGGACAGGCTTTCCTCGGGTGTGCTGCTGCTACAGAAACTCACGTTCGTCACACAGTTAGTGACGCTGATGATTAACAGCCAGTCACCACCACTGCCCCAGCACAACAGTCAATACTGAAGTATCTTAATTCACTTCAAGCTGCAGCCTCTCTAATGGATCGGCTCAGCATTTACTCACACGCTGCAAGCAATCATCTCCTTCTCGGCAAATAAGCCCTGTCCTCCTCCGACAGCGGCTGCTGGCAGTCCCGTAAGGCCAAGGGGTTCGACCCTCACGTCCACGCTCCCTCTGGCGCCGGTGGGACAGGTAGGTGCCTCGGCTCTCCGAGGCTCGGCTGGCCGCGGAACGAGCAATCGGAGCGTTTGCCACAGGTTAAACAGCTTTCAGGATTTGTTTTAATAATTAACTATTTTAAAAAACTATTTTAAACAGGCATGCTTTGGTCGGAAGGAGTTTGGTGACAGGCAGAAGAGTCTCCTCAAGGATGGATAAAACAAGGCCACTGAAATTTTCAGGCTCACTGTAGGAAATGCGTATGCAGAAAGGCCACGTCAGCCCTCAGCAAAAAGTCTTGTCACGGCCACCGTCTAAGGCAGGGAGCGCTCTGGCTGCAACGCTCGCAAACTGTTTCACAGTCCAAGGCCAAGGATGCTGGGGAAAAAGGAAAAAAAAGCAGCAAACTGAAACATCCCTGAGCAAAAAACTCCTGCCATGTAGCAGTGCTCAGCAGACCGGGCGGTTTGGAGACGTTGTGCATGGCTGCGCTGGTTTCATTCTGATCAAATGAGGATGAGGTTGGTTTTTGCAATTTGCGATAACAATATTTTGCAAGCGAGACGAAACATGTGGTAAGCCCAAGGCAAACTGCAGCAGCTTTTGCATACAAGCCATGCGAAATGGTTTTTTCGTCGTGTCAGACAAAGCTCTCTAACGCCACTCTGCCTGTCTATCCTCCTTCCGCCACGCAACGTGAAACTTGACTTACCGCACGCTCTCCGAACCGTCAGTTTTCCACCAAACAGTCATTTATTTCTTCGGTACGTGCTCCTTATTTTTAAACACGTTACTTCGCTCTCTAATTGCAACGTTTCTAGGCGGTGCTGCTGATGCCGGTCCCTTGGAGGAACGATTTGCTCCGGCTCAGGCATTTGGGAAAAGCCTGGTGTCAGGACAACCCAGCTGCACAAACGACCGGCTGGCGGGCAGGCTGGACGGGGGAG